GACGTCCTGCCCCTTCTGGGCCTAAACTTTGCTCAGAGATGGGCTCTGTTCTGACTTCCACCCTCAGGGCATTTGGAGAAATATCAGACTCGTCCGTCAGACCCTCGACTTGGATCCCCTGGCTTGCTGGGTCTGGGATCTCTGCCCTTTGGGGGACCCCCACCGTCTGAGCTCTGCCACGTGAACCTCCAGGATCCCAAAGAGCGGGGCTCACTTGAACGCACAGATGGGGCTCTCTGCTCCCTCCTGTGCAGCCCTGACCAGGAAGCGTGAAATCAGCTGCTCGTGGTCCCAGCTGCACGTTGGAGTCTGGGGTGCCTGAACACGTCCTGACGCCCGGTCCCCCCCGAAAGACTCTCAGTTGGCCCAGGGGGCAGCCCGGGCACTGGCGTTTGTAAAAACCTCCCTGGGATTCTAAAGCATAGTTCAAGCGAGAACTCTGCTCCCAATCCAGGAGCGCGGGAAGCCACTCCCACCAGGCAGGTGGAGTCGGCGGTCGTTCTGCTCGAAGCCCGGGCCGCTCGGACTGGTCATGGACCAGCGAGCTCCGGCATCGCTGCTGATGGCTCAGGAGGGACCATCTCAGCCCCATCCACACCCGCCCAAATCCGAACCCTCACTCTGGCTGGACCCCCAGGGGATCGTGTGCATGTCGCGCAGAAGGGCCCGGATGGGATGAACTCAGGGGGCCTCGCAGCCCACCAGGCTGCAGTTGGCTGCACCCACCTCCCTCGGCCGTTCTGGGCGTGGCTTTTAGGAGATGGTGCGGGCCAGGGGCTATCTGTTCTTACAGCAGTGTGGCAATTTATGCTCTTCCTTCTCTGTTTTTTTTTAGCTGTCTCCTTAATCAGAAGAAATGTTTTCTCCATAGTCTCTGGAACTAATTTCCTTAATATGAATCTCAGCCTTAAAGATATTCTCTCTCAAAGAACTCGAGGCAACTAAAGACAGTGTCTCCCTTGCAAGTCCTGGACCAGGATGAGTGTGAGTTCTGCAGGCTCTTTCCATTCAGAGGCAAAGACCCTCGGACCATGTCCACTGGACTTTGGCCTGTGGGGAGCTGCTGGGGACTGTGTGCTCCATGTCCCTTTGGGGGCTCCTTAAGGGCCCTTAAAATGTCATAGCCTCTGACTCCGCTTTGTTACCATTGGGAATCTATCCCAAAGAAATAAACGGAAATACAGTAAAAAGCTTTCTGGGTAAAATACTCCTGTTACAGAGATAAACGTACAATATAAACGTGAAATACCGCACGTGGCCAACAACAGGGAGGCAGGTGGCTCCCTCTTAGGATCTCGGCCGCCCACTTGAGAGCACGTGTAGGGAGACTCCAGGCACACAGGGAGCTTCGACAGCATGGACGATGGCAGCCACACGGATATAAAAAGAATTCATGGAAGAAGTTCAGAAGAAAGGAGAGGAGGCATTAATCGAAGGTATATTCCAGGAGAAAAAAAACAATCCGCCACAATCCGCCCACTCTGTTTTTCAGGTTCTCCTGTTTGCCGAATGCGCACATCACTGCAGTTACGAGCGAGGGCGCTTGAAGGACGTCCCCGGGCCGTGGAGAGCTGCGTGTTCAGGTCACGGCGAGTCGTCAGTGGCAGAAGATTTTATCTGGTAACAGAAGGAAGAAGGTGGGAAAGAAACTTACGGATCATCATCAGCAGGTGGGGACACGGTCCAGAAATGTGAAACAAGAAGCCCAGGTCGCCCAGCAGGTAGCCACCCCACACAGCTCTCTGATGGCAGGCTTCCCCCGAGGACGCCAGGTCACTGCACTGGAGCTTTAGTTTCTTTCTCCCCTTCTTGTGACGGTGCTGCATCTTGTGTTTTAAAATAAGTGATTGGTCTCAACACCTCCAGGTGTTTTCCTCCTATAGTCTCAGTTAAATAGCAATACAACAGTTGATTGTTATGGCAGACCAGCACCTTGCCCATCTCTGCTGTGCTCTTACAGACAGCGAAACAGGGACCCAGAGAGGGCAAGCTACTTGCCTGAGCAAACACAGCTCATAGGAGGCAGAAGCAGGATTCGAACTGGCTCTGTTGGACGCCCAAGCCCCAGTAGCTATGCTGCCCGGCCTCCATGGTGGGGCAGGTGGCCGGCGGCCGGAAAGCCCCTGAGGCCTCGAGCAGAGCCAGCTCCAGGACGCAGGGCTGTTTATTGTTCCTGCGGCTCTCGGCGCAACCATCAACACGTTGTTTGAAGGGCGAGGGCCGGTGGACTTTGAAGAGCGTGGAGAAGGAGGGCTCCCCCAGGGGTTTGCCGTCCAAACAGACGCAACAGAAACCAGAGGGCGACCAGGGTGGCCGAAAGGCTGGTGGGTGGCCTGCGAGCCTGCAGGGTCTCCCGTGCTGTCATGTGATGACATGTTGTGTGACTCCCATGGCAAGGCCCGGGGCCTCCGCATGTTCCCTCCCTGCCAACGCTGGGGCCCCGGGCACTGTGCCCACTCTCTCTGTGGGCACCCAAGGGCGTCCGCTGCCAGCAAGGGCTTCCATGGGGCAGACACAGGTCAGCCCAGCTGAGTGCTGGCTGCCGGGGGACCACACTGCACGGCCCCTGACAGCTTTGCTCTCCTGGTCCTTGAGAACGTGGCCCGAGCTCCCTGATGGATTCCTGAAGCGGACCTTGACTGTGACCGGCTCAGGGAGAGGAGGATGGGCTTCGGGCAGTGCCGGCTGAGAGCCCGGACCACGGCACCCAGGGTTTGCTGGGCACTCTCGATGTGACACGCACTTCTCCTGTCCTATTTTGTGCAATCCTGAAACAGCTCCATGAAGTGGGGACCAAGACCCTTCCCACTTTACAGATGAGCAAACTGAGGCTCGGGATGGAGAAGTAACTTGCCCGGGTGTCAGGCTAGGGTTTGACCCCGGGCATTGTGACCCGGGCTTGAACTGCCGGTTTGGGGCCCCGATGTCGCAGCACAGAGACTCCACTCTGGGCTCTGCCAGCAGACTGCCCAGCTTTAGCTTTAGCTCCTGCTACGGTCATGTTGTCACTTTCCAGCAGCCTGGTCTTCAGAGATTGACTGACCGCCCTCTGCCTCCGTTTCCTCATCTACAAAATGAAGGCAATAAGAATGCTTGCCTCCTGGGGCTGTTGTGGGAGCAGATGAGCTTTTCCCAGAAGCTGGTGGCACAGCACAAAACTCCTAGGGTCTGGCAACGCTCCCATAAAGGCTGGCTGTCATGAATGCAAGTACGATTATGTACGGCTGAGCCGCACCGGTCGTCTTCTCCCTGTGAGTTGAGCTAGTCTTCCTTTCTCTCCGTTTGCTCCCGTTAAGTGTGGACAGTGATGGTCAATGTGAGCATCACTGAGAAGATGCCAGACGATGCAGAGACTGCTGCTGCTTCAGATATCCAGTGTCTACAGAAACCTCTGGACCAGTGTATTTTTATTTCAAATATTCACTCTGTCTTCAGACGCCCTTCCCAGTTCTCGCCCGGAGCACAATTCTCTCTAATAATAATCATGTAACCTACATAAAATTCAACATGTTAAGTACGGCAATTGACCCGGAGAGGGATCACCTCTACAAGGGCTGGTGTTTCGTGGAGAAACTGAGGGAAAAAACGAAGCGAGGGTTGGTGATCCTCTCATTATAAAAGAAAAGGAAAATGCCCTCCGTTTAGGCTGCAGCAACTTTCTGTCAAAGAAAAGGAGAGGCTTAATGAGAAGTTATTTTTTAAATCAGATTTGCTTAGGAGCTGTTACACTCACGTTGTGATTTAAAAACAAAAGAAATTAAACTGGCGTTTTGCCGAGTTTCAGTTGGTGTTGGCTGGTTCCAACACGGCCTGAGGAGCAGTGGTTTTTTCGATAGTCCCTGTGGCCTCGGCATCCCCCGACAGGGGCTGTTGTCCCACTGTGGGAGAGCCGGGGGCCAGGGTGGGGGCACAGAGCGTCCGGATGGCCATTCTTACCACCGCCCAACTGGGCTTTTCTCATTAACCTGCGGTGACACTCGACTGATAAGTCAAAGAAAACCCAACAGGGAACTGAACTCATACATGTGGGTGTGGAATGGGTGGAAATCTCTTCGCTTTGCTAATTGGGGTTCTCTTCTCATCTCAACTAGGTTCTGGTCTTTGTCTGAGCAGACAAGATAAGAAGGAAGCTGGGGTTTTCTAACAAGACCGCCTGGCTGGCCTGCCTGGTCATTTCCAAGGGTCCAGCATCAGCGAGAATCCTTGCCTCCTTGGCAGTAGAATGACTCTCCTGGGAGAACGTTGTGTGATGTCTCTAGCGGGGCTGGTGGCGGTTCTGAGGCCCTCTGAAGTCTGCCTGCGGGTGTTGCCTTGAGCTGGTCCGTCTCCGTTCCTTTGCTGGGGATCATTTTCCTTCTGAGCTGCTGACCCACTTGCTCATTAGCATTACGAAAGTTTGGGCCAGCTAGCTACTCTGCAAAGCCACAATTGCTTTCAGAAAACAAAAGAAGCACCGATTTATGAAAGCCAGTGAAGACTTGTATTGCCTGCTTGGAAATTATAAAAATCAAATCGAACAAAATAAAATTGTGCACTTCTTTTGTGTCTCTTTGTCAGAAGGACTTGAAAAAACAAATAATGATGTATCGACCTTTGTTTGTTTAATACAAAAATAATATTTTTTAAAAAGCCATTCAATGAATTTGTAAATTGAAGCAAGGAGGTGCTTCCTTTGAATTTTTAAAGCCCTCACAGCTTTAATCGTCCAAACCAAAAATTCTATGTGGCACCGATAATGGATTTTTTTTCCCTATCTGAATATAAAAAAGGATTATGGATGTTATATTGACACTGGGCTAAATCTTTCCCTTATAAGGTGTTTGACATAAATAGCTTTTATTATGTAACTCTTAAATAGAAAGAATACACATATTTTGTAAAGGTCCCAGCTGCTATTGTTATCATTCAAGACATAAAATTGGAATCCCGACTTCCAATATCAAATTTGAGCACAGACCCTATAAAATGTATCTTGTCAGAATGTGCCAGAACTGCTAAGCTCTTTTCAGCAGAACAGCTTGCAGCTGGTGCTTCATCTTTAAGGGTGAGAATCAACTTGGAGTGTCCTCCGGGTTAGGCGGCAAATTGGTCCCGGTTTTGCCCCTGCCGCAGGGCTGGCCCGGGAAGGCGTGGGCTTAGATTAGCCGTGTCCTCTGCCGTTTGACGGGGTGACACGAGCCCGCAGGGCTGAGCGCAGGGCCCGGAGATAGGACCAGCCAGCAGGAATGCAGAGAATGTTTCTCTTTGGACTCTATCGAGGCACACAGACCATGGGGATTCTGTCCGCGGTGACAGCCTTAACATTTGCCAGAGCCCTGGACGCCGCTGTAGAAATGGCATTGCCCACCCGGAAAGTGAGAAGGTAAGGTTTATTTTTGTATTTTTTTCTCTCTCTCCCATATACAGACTGTAGAAAGACCACCAAGCGTGGGCCATTTTTTTTTTCCACCACGATGTACAATTCACATTTGTTAATCAAAAAAAAGTGCCCGAGGTCATCCACCTAGACGTTTTTTTTCTTCTTAAACAGGAAACGGGTTTCAGATGTTTATATGTTAAAAAGTAAGGCTACTAATCTGTTTAGCCATTTACCAGACCCTGGCTAACTCGCTCTTACATTTTAACGTTCAGACCTCGTGGAAGGACATTCATTTTGATCCCTCCTGTTATTTAGAATTAAAAAGAGAAATCTTTCAATGGTCACCTGCTTTTGGGGGGCAGTTAGAGCAGAGATGAAAATAAATGAATCAGGCAGTTTAGCGAAATTGTGCCGTTAGCCGCATGGGCGCTGTGCAGCGTGCTGGAGAATTCGATGCTCTCAGGCAATTCTTTAAAATAGACTGTGATCACATGTATTTTCATGTGTCCACAAACTGAGGGCGACTGAGGCATCTTATTTAGATTCAGAATGGAGATTCACAGATGCACACAGTTAAGAAGGCTACAGCAAAGACAAAAATCATGCTTTTAGAGTCGGACCTTTTTCTCTGGATCAGCCGTTTTCCACAGCTCTTCTCGAGATTAAGCTGTGAGCAGTAACAGAGAAGAGCCATTTTCGGGGGAGCCCATGATCCCTTGAGATGCCTTCAACCCGATGTTTGGAAATAAAGGTTTTGGTTTTATTGCTGGAATTTCTTTTCCTCGCCCCAGGGCTGCTGATTTTAAGCAGTTGCTGCTGGTGAGGATGTTTCCCTGTATAGTGTGGCAAATCAATGATACTTTTCCCATGTTGGGGAGGTTTACATACGTATAATCCGGGAAAAAGGAGCACAAACAGGGGTGGTTCGAATGCTTTTTAAGCGAATTTGTTGGTATTCAAATCATTGGCTGAAAAATTTATTTTAAACGTAGAATGCAAAGCAGGGGAATTCTATCATTTGCTGCCCCCGGGTCTGCTGGCCCCACTCTCCACCAGCCTGCATTTGACCAAATGCTTTATGTCTGCAGATCCTGTAAGGAGGCAGAATGACGGTTTTCGGAAACATCCCGTCAAGGAGAGAGAAACAGCTAAATTGAAATGGGCTCTTAAAATCAGCCCAGGGTTCTCTGGATCAGTGAAAACAGGTATTTGTAAAAATGAAAACACGGACAAGGAATTGGGCTCTATTTCCCTACAAGCCTCTTCCCCCCCCGTGCCTCCTAAATATATATATATATTTCTATGAAGCAAAAATACATTTGTTTTCTTTTTCATCAGGGTTATCAGACGTGGCTGGAGAAAAGATTAGTACAAGTCTAAAAACGGACATGTAATACGTGTCAAGCTCCTTTGAAAGGGGGTGAGATGGCTATGATAACAAAACTTAAAATGTGTGTTTTCTGACAAACAAAAAACCCATTTTGATTTCTTGACCTGTGTTTGAGCTCAGCGTTCAGATGACACAAGGCTACCCCCGCACAGGTGTCAGGGGCTCCCAGCATGAACCCGGTGACAGAACAGTGACAATGCCACTGGCTTCGAAACGGGAGCAAAAATAACAGAAAATGGCTCTGTTAGGAAAGAAGCTTCTGCAGGGCGGATCCCTCAGAAAGTAAGTCCCCAGCAGATGCCGACCCGCGCAGCGCTGATCCACGTCAGCCCAGGTTCTCCAAGCCGTGTCTGCGACACCTGAGAACCTGGGACCTCGAGTGAGTCAGAGACCACCGAGCAGGACCCTTGAAAGGCACCAAGGTGCTGAAAAAGCGGAGGGGAGCCTGGCGCAACGTCTCCGCAGCCGCCAAAAGGCCCCGGAGCAAACGGACACAGAGATGTGTCTGATGAGGTGATGGAGAGGGTGGAGGGTGGCGGTTTCGGTGACGGCGACATTCCTCTGTCTGGGCAGGACGTGGGGCATTGGGCTGAGAGGTCCCTATGTGAAAATCGCAGGAGACGAACCACTTCGGGCCAGTCCTTTTTTTTTGTTGTTGTTAAATGTCTCTTTGGCCCCCAAACCGTTATGAAGAGAAAAATGCCGAAGTCTGCAAATCCAGGGCCATCACTGTGTCAGCTCCGAGCCGAGATGTTTCCCAAATGAACACCTGGAGGACGTAAATCACCCGGCCGTAAACACTTCAGGCCCGGCGCAGGCTGCGGGCTGGGCGGGGCGGCCTCCTCCCACCGGCCAGGGTCCGTCAACCAGGCGCTGGCCTGCACTCATCGGGGCTCCTTTCCGAGAGAGACCCCCACCCCCCAGTCTGGGAGCAGAATCCCCTCACAGAGGTCACTCAGATAACGGACAGACGTGCTCCCACCCTGGCCACCGGCCGACTTATCCCGGGCTGGTATTGGGGAGTGAAGCTGTCAGAGGTTTATGTCGTTACGAATGGCTTTACGATACCTACAGAGGGGACCAGGGCCCCGGGCTTCAAGGTGGCTATTTTTGAAGGCGGCATGTAATGATAAAATCCTAAAAAAAAAGTCTTTCTTTTTAAATATCCTGAAAGTAAAATCATAACCATAGTAATAACAAAACCAAAAGGTTTGTATGAAATGTCCCCAACGTTAGGAGATGTCAAAGGGCATTCGCTCTTTTAAGACAAACAGAATTCAAATATTAAAATAACTTTCTTTCTCCCCACTGTCTTAAATTCCTGGGAACCCCCATTTGGTGTATGCGATTGTCATAAAAATCCCTGAAGGGGGGACACAGATGGAGGCCAGCGGGATCCATCTCAGAAAGATCACCTCCTTGGGAATTTCTTTACATTCTGATGCTCTACTTAAAATAAGAAAATCTCTCCTTATAATTATCTGGCTAGGAGGAGTCTTTTAAATGATGTCTTCTGCCTTCAGCCAGACAGATGTGAGGACGAGCAAAGTAAACACTACAAAACAGCCTTCAGTCCTGGCTTTTTATGGCTCTATTCCTTTCCACCCACAGCACGGATCAGAGGAACGTAGAGAACTCGAGAGTAGGGACTCTGTCTCTGGGATCAACCTTGCACCAAAGAAAAACAACCCAGAGAAATTATTCTGCAGCCTGAAATGAAGCTAGGATCAAATGGTTGCTCATCGGAAGGAATATTTAAATTGGACAAGTCAAATCAAGCGTTATTAAATAAAGCTTGTTTAATGTGTCTCCAACGGAAAACGTCTTTTGAAGGGCGGTTTAACCTGATATTACAAATCTGGCCCAGCGCATGTCTTCAGGCTCCATCGGTGCATACGGGAATTTGTGTTCATACCACGAAAAGTGTGCTACCCTCTCTTCACAAAGTATTTTTTTCCCCATGTATAAAATGAAAGCAGAAAGGTTTTTAGGTAGCTATTGAAAACTGTTAATGTCATATAATAAATATGAGACAACTGACCCATGTTTTAATGTTTATTCGTCCGACAGAGTGCAGCCCGGCCACCTCGGGGACGTGGGTGACATGCTCCGAGCCGAGACCCTCGCGTGTGGGGTGATGTTTTCCCACCATGGTGCGGTGGGGTAGCAGCTGACCTGTGCTCTTCCCAAACCTAAAACCACTCTCTAATGGGTTTTACAATATTTACATTTTCAATTTTATTTATAGGACACCAGATGTCTACATTCAAAAGAAAAAAAAAAATCGTTTGGAATATCAAGTCCCGGCCTTCCCCACGGTGGCTAGCTGGTCATTGTGCTTCCCGGCTGCCATGCAGCAGCGTGTGCGAACCCATGCACAGCTGGGGGCTGTGTCTGCCCAGGGGTCAGGGAGGTGGGACATGGGGCATTTGTTTCCATTTTCTGTGTGACCACAGGCACGTCCTTATTCTGGGCCACATTTTCTCTGTCTGTAAAAAGGGAGGACGTTGGCTTGTCCCAGCAATGCGATGCTTTGCACTTCTCTGTGACCACCCTCTCTCTCATTAACCTCTTCTGACATCGGGAACCCAGCCTCTGAGGACCGGCCCTCAGCCAGACCTACGAGCCAGCGCCGGCTAGGTCCTCCCCGGGCCACGGCGGGAGCGAGCGCTGGGGTCGGTGAATCGCTAAATGCCTCTCTTCCTTCGTCCTTCACAGTGGGCTTAGAATATTCAGCCCGTGTCAGGGGTGACCAAAAGGTGCTTCAAAAACACAAGCTGAGATTTTCATTCGCTTTATTGTTTTCGTTGTCAACTGACATGACAGTGGACCCACCCTGATTTATCAGCTTGAAAAGCAGTCCCACCTTTTCTCCAAGCGGCACAAGATCCTGCGAGACCCTTCATACACCTCTTCTCCCCCCGGGGGGAAGATTTGATGCCTGTCCGCCAACATGGGCAGATGAGCAGTGTGCTTTTCAGCACAGACCCCCTTCACGGGCTCAGCCTGGTCCCTTCCTCCTCAGTCGCAAACGAAAGTGTCCCGTGAAGGCGGCGGGAAGCACGGCTGAGAGCGTGGATGGCGAGCAATGCCCCCGCGGGCGATCTGCAGGAGCATCCCACGTGTCACCTCCTTTGTTCCTGGAGAGGAGTCCTTGCCCCCTTCTCAGCAGCGCTCCTGGCCACTGTGCGTACTGCCGAGGGACCGTGGCCCTGGAGATGGCCCTGGAGCAGCACAGGGGGCCGGCAGGCCGCCTAACAATTCCTCCTGCACCTCACTTTTCAGGCCTTGCCAGGCCAGAAGGGCAGACGATGAGTGAAGATCCTTAGGAGAGAGGCTCTCAAAGTGGGGCCTGAACGTCCGTGGGGCGGGCAGTGGCATTCTGTGTTTTCACAGGCCCTTTGGGGGATTTGGGACTAACCCCGGGGCAACGTTGCTTTAGAAAAGCCCCCCCACCCCCACCCCGCTCCGGGTTGCCTAAGGAAAGCAGCCAGGAGGACTGGTTTCCATTTCCCGCGGCTGCAGCGCACTCACACCCCCTGAGCATCAAAGCAGGAGAGATGGAGGCCCGGAAGGAAGCGGCATCCGCAGGCCTGGATGATGAGCCTGCCTGGGACACGGGGAAGAGGAACAAGAAAGGTCAGGAGAAGCGGGTGACAGATGGCCCGGCGGGAGGCGGAGAAGAAAGCTTTAGGGTGAGAGACGTGGGGAGCAGAGGGAGAGGTACCACTGACAGCAAGGAGCTGAGAAGATGGAGTGGGTGGGGGCGGGGTGAGGGGGCCCAAGGGAGGGAGGAGGGGAGGCGGCAGGGCACTGGCATCATTCTCCCCTCACCATTTGGCAGCTCTTGTCTGCTGGAGGGACCCTGTCTCCTGCTGTTCCACCCCACGCCTCCCATCCCCCACCTAGGGGCTCTCAGCCCTGACTGTCCCTTACTGTCCACCCCCTAGACAGCTTTGACAGCCCCGGTGCCCAGCGCCCCCCCCAGAGATTTGGAGGCCCTTGGCTGGGCCTGGGACCCGGCTTCGGGACTTGTTTTTACCAGCTCCCCGGTAGTTCTGTGCACAGGCAGGGACTGGGACCCACTGCCCTGAGTGGAAACTGCCAGATTCACACTTCCTATAGGAGCTTCCCCTGGACGAACTGGAGACTTCAGAGGTTCTGTTTGTAATTCGCACACTCTGAAGGAGCGCCGTCTGGGTGGTGGGCTTGCCTGGGTCCATCAGCCACAGCATCTCCATCGTCTCCGTCATTCCAGATATCAGAGAGAGGTGCTCTCTGCGTTAGGGCATTTGGGGTTGGGGCGTGGCGAAGCAGAAACACTCTCGGGGTGGAAAATATTCCCAGGAGCCCGTATCTGCCCTGTCCCCTTCGTCCGTGGGGTCTGAAGTGAAGGAGCCCTCTCAACTTGTGCGTACCCCTCCCCCCCCCAACCCGAGCCTCACCGTCCAGACAGTGAGAATGAACGGGACTGCCCCAAACAGGTTCTGAGCCCAGGCTGACTCCCACAAGGCTCCCTCCTGTCCCCATGTGGCTTCTCTTTTCTTGATAAATGTAGTAAGACAAAACAGAGACAAAATTTAAAAATCTGAAAAAATTCAAATCTTCATGAGTTGAAACATACATCCCAGGTGTTGGTTCTAAGTACAGTCGTGCGTCGCTGAATGACGGGAGTGTGTCCTGAGAAATGTGCCGTTGGGTGATTTCCGCGTGGTGTGAACATCACAGAGCGGACTTACACACACCTAGACGGTGCAGCCTGCTACACTCCCAGGCTCTACGGTGCTAATCTCACCGGGCCCCTATCATGTGTGCGGTCCGTCGTTGGCTGAAATGTTATTTGGCCCATGACTGTAATTATGATGTTCCATTGGCCCACTTACTTTCTTGTAAATCAAAAGCCTCATTAATAAGAGTTAAGATATATAGAGTATCTAGAAATCCAGGCACTGCTCTGGGAGCCTCACACGGCTTAACTCCTTTCACCGTGGCAATGACCCTGTGCAGGTGTTATTTTTGTGCCATTTTACAGGCAGGATAAGTGACGCACAGATGACTTCCCCAAAAGCATGCAGATAGAAAGTGCCAGAGCTTCAATGTGAACCGGGGTGGTCCAACTCCACAGGTCGGTGGTACCGAGAAGAGAGGATGGCGTTACTGAATTGGAAAATATATTGTTATTTAGGAGAGTTTCTCAGGGGCCATCAAAGCCGCAGCCCTAGCCAGCTCTGCCGTTCTCTGAGAGACGCTTTTCTTTTCTGAGGCCTCCGTTTTCTTTTCCACGAAGTGGGACTAGGAAGGCCCACGGCTGGGTGGTCCTGCAGGGTGTCCACCGCTGCCCGGAGTCCCGAACCCCTGCAGGCAGGAACGCTGGTGCCTGGGCCCTGAGCACTGAGGTGGTGCTGAGCTGGAGTCTGTTTGTTCTCAGGGGAACAACAACCCTGTCTGGAAACGCCGAACCAACCTGTGCTGGGACAAACCTTGAGGCCTGAGACAGAAAGAAATCGGAGCAGGCTTGGAAAAGAAGTAGGGCCCCCGGCGGGTGGCAGACGCTCTGCTGTGCTGACTCTGGGAGCGGGAGGACTTGCAGGTCCAGTTTCTCGACAAGGTGGCGGGAGGACACTCGGATCTGGGGCGTCTGTAAATCTCAGCCGTGCTCGGAGGACAGACGTCTCAGCATGTCCCCACGGGCCTGTGGTTTCTGCTGAGCTGGTGTCCCCCAAAGCTGTGCAATGGTTCAAGTCCTGCCTGTGAAGTGTGGCTGGGAGGATTACGGGTGGCAATGCTCCACGCTTGTCAAAGCTCAGCCCAGAGTCTTCCAGAACCTTCCACAGAGTCATAACAATAAAAAAACAGCACAGGTGGGCTCTCACCTACAAGCATCTCATTCTCACGCAAACCGGAGGAGGCAGGAGCCTCTGTGAACTCACTTTTCAGATGTGAACACTGAGGCACAGAGCGGTTATGAAATCAGCCAAGGTCACAGGTGGGGCTGAGATTTGAACCCAGGCCCCTTGCTCGAGGGCTGTTGACCCTCAGCTCCTCCAGTCTATCCAGGCACTCCATAGATGGGAGTGATTACTAGGATTATTTGGGGGTTTTGGTCCAAGATAATTCTTTAACTTTAAAGGAGCTTTTATTTTGATCATTGTAGATTCGCATGCAGTTGTCAGGAATAATACAGAGATTCCTGTGCGCTTCACCCGGTCTCCCCCAGTGGTGACACCCTGCATAGTTGTAGTAAAATGTCACAACCAGGATACGACACCAATGCAACCCACCCACGTTATTCACGGAAAATGGGAAAAAGAGATCTGGGGGGCGGGATAGAGACAGACGCTGCCTGCTCCGCCCCAGCCCCTTTGCTCTCCGTCCTGCACCCTTACTTCCTTTATTCCTTTTACTCGACACCATCTGACCTTATAGCTGATGTTTACACTCCCCAGAGAATGGAAGTCCCATGAAGGCGGCGAGCTCTGTCTATCGGATTCCCAGTGCCTAGAATGGTGCCTGATGCCCACAGCTTTAGAGGATATTTTTAAAAGGGTGGAGGAATGTGGGGCCGGCCCGGTGGTGCACCGGTTAAGTTTGCATGTTCCGCTTCTCGGCAGCCTGGGGTTCGCCATTCTGTGGTAGACATCCCATGTATAAAGCAGAGGAAGATGGGAACGGATGTTAGCGCAGAGCCAGTCTTCCTCAGCAAAAAGAGGAGGATTGGCAGCAGTTAGCTCAGGGCTACTCTTCCTCAAAAAAAAAAAAAAATCTCTAAAATGGGCTGAATGCTCCCCACCTGCAGGGTGTGGTGAGGCTTCACTGATGTCAGGTGTCCAGTACGTGGCGTCCAGTGGGGTCACAGTGTGGTAGGTCAAATTGTGCGTCCTCCCCAAATACCCAAGGAAATTCCCTTTGCACCTCCAGCCTGTGTGGCTGACCATTCTGGAAGCCCCCCTGGCTGCTCTCCGGGCTCTCTGGGGTTTGTAACGGCCTAAGATCTTTCAACAGTTAAGAGCACTGCTAATAAGAGATCTGAGAACAATTTG